GATCATAAATAAATTCGGATAATGAATTTGCTATTCCTTGACAGAAAAAACAGTATTTTTTCTTTCTCCAGTCGCCTGTTTTCAGAATTTTTTTGAGACTTTTTGCTGTTACGTATTTGTTGTTGTAAGTCTTGGTGCTGTTTTTGTTGCTGTAACTCTTGATGCTGTTGTTGTTGTAACTCTTGATGCTGTTGTTGTTGCTGTTGTAAGCTTTGTACACAGCATTTTAGTCATTACACTAATTGCTCCATCCTGACTTTCTTTAGAATTCAGCAAAAAAAAATTTTTTTTTTTTTTTTAGACAGTTAACACTCTCAACAGACAATTTACAGCCGTAATATTTTTACAACCTGTAATTTTTACTTGAATAATCAATTATTAGACCGCCTCGTATTTGAGTCAGCGGTTCAATATATATTTTCAAATCACAATTTAACATTAAAAATTCTTACTTTTCAAAAAGTTTCTTTTGACTTGTGACTCCGCTTTGAAAATCCGTTCAGCGATATTTTTTTTTTTTTCAAGTAAGTCGTTGCAAATCATACGTCGCCAGCTGTTATATCTTGTACAAGATATAATAAACAAAAAAGTAAACCAGTGTGGTTTTCAATAATAATTTTATAATCGGATGTAGGTATGTCAAAATACAGAGACAGCGTAGGAGTAAGCTAACCGCAATGGTGTTAGTAAACGAAGACTTTCTTTTTTCAGCTCTCTACTGTTTACTGTGGTATATTTATCGGCCACCAGAATGTCCATTATCGTGAATGGGGAAGTTGGGTTATCTCATCACAACATGTTACGACACTGTATATCTTAATAACTATTGAAGATATCAAAACACAATTTACATTTCCTGAAAGCTAATATTTCCACGTTTCTATACAGGTTTTTAATGGTGTTCAATGTGAGTGCCATGGGTTACACAACACACTTCCAAATGATAATGCAATTCTTGCCAAACACAACCAAGCTTAGTGTTGTCAATGATTGCCAAGGCTTCAGTTATTTCCATCTTCAGATCATCTATGTCTCTGAGAAGGGGAGGTATGTATATGAGGCATTTCACATAGTCCCAGAGGAAGAAGTCATATAGCGTGAGATCTAGAGACCTAGGTGGCCATTGCAGGAACATGCAATCAGTCTGCCCGGAATGTTTGACTCATCTCTCAGGCAGAGTGGTGTTCAAATACTGTCTAACTTAAATTTAATTAATTAAATTAAAATTAAATTAACAGAAGAAAACTTGATACTTTTAGCTTTTAAATGGTCCCAGTTCAATCATGCTACCATCTGTAGTTCGTAATATAAGAGTTCTTAGAATGTGACAGACTTTTGAAACACCCTGTATTGTCATGTTAGACCAATGGTTGTTGCTAGCACTCATTTTCCATTGACAAATATTAAATAAGACTGTGCTTGGCCAGGCCAGTAACAAATAAATATTTATACAGGTTGAACATTGCTAATTCAGCAAGCTTGGAACCAGACAGGTGTTAATGTAGCACATTTTCTTAATCAGTCAAAACTTTGGGGGGAAAAAAAACATAGCAGGCAAAATAATGCATATCTTGTGCTGTAGGCCTAAACTTATCTCAAACTTGCGGAACATTTGAAAGGGAAAAGCTTTTTTAAAATTATTTTTATCCTTTATTAAGTACCAAAAATTTGATTAAATCCAATAATTAATCATTTTGTATAATTAATTTTTTTTGGTTTACAGGTAAACAACTCTTCACAAATATCTTTGGTTCTATCAATCATTCAGTCATTATTCAGTTTGCATAATTTTGGATTGGACATTTTGGAAACCAACTTCATGGCACTTCTCTAGATTATCTATAGCCATGTCCACTTTCAACTTCTTGAAGTCATTGTTACCACCTTCTCTGCAGGTTTTCTTAATCACTTAGCCACTATACAGTTTATTATCTTTCCTTAATACAAGGATTAGACATTTTGGAAGATGACTTCACTACACTTCTGATTATCTATAGCCATGTCTTTTTTTCAACTTCTTCAGGACATTGTGCACCTCCTCTTCAATTTTTTTTTCCAAATTAGAATATCCCCCACTTTTATTCTTACCAAAGTTCAAATGGTAGAAATGTGGATGGTGTAATAGTTATCAATGTAGAGAATGAGTTGGCAAGCCCAGTTCAAATTCCAGCCTAGTTTGTTGTGTTCACTTTTGTACCAATGCTGTTCAGACAGGCATAAATCTCTCATTTCTATCCATGGTTATGGACTGAATAGCAGGGTAGATTGGACTCTTTCTCTTTATCCTTGTTTGGTATCCAGTCTAGGAGAAGAACAGTACTGATTCCAAAACTGCAGAGAAGGCAACAGGAAACAATACTTCTTTCTTTCTCAAGGAGTTCAGGCAATTCACATATAAGAAAGAAAAATGAAACTGTAAAGAGCAGTGATCGCCCAAATCCTGAAGGATAACAGCAAAAAAAAAAAAGGAAAAAAAAAAAGGCTCAAATGGTGACAATTTCCTGCCAAAATATTTTTCTCATATCACCAAATGATTCTAGGTGCCAGATTAGTGAGGCCCAGATTATTGACATTCAACCTGCATAAATACAGAGATATAACAAACTAGCAGTAGGGCCCGGCGTTGCCCGGGGATGTAACAGTAAGAGATAGTTCAAGTATCAACCATCATAAAGACTGAAAAATAAAATTGACAATAAAATTATGTCTTAATTAGTTTTATATTTTTGTTTTTTTTTTACTTAATTGGTCAAACCCAAACTCAAACAAAAACATTGTTTTCAATCATTTATGAGTCTCTACCGATTGAATAGAATTTTATTATAAACAATTGTCTTGTAAATGGAATTTTTAAAGCATTCTGAATGTAAAATATAAAGAAAAAAAGTGCAAGACAATAAGAAACACTACCTGCCAAAAAAAAGTGAAGTTTTGTTTGAAATCAGTTGAAAAATGTAGGAAATCCGATCCCATATATAAACGAACACACACACAAAAAAAACCAACTTGGGTTTTATAATAAGTATAACTCAATATTAATAAGTATTACTCAATATGAGTTGTACCCCTTTCATTAATGCCTCTTAATCGTGTTTTCAAATTGATTTTGTGCAAAGACAATTGTGTTTTTCCAATTTTTGGCGCTGTCAGAACCACCGCAAGGTAATTTTACGTAGTCCTGTGAAGTTTTGTTGAAATCGGTTGAAAAATGTAGGAAATCCAATCCAATATATAAACGTACAGACACACACACACAATCTGAGTTTTATAATAAGTAAGATAAGAAGAGTTAACTACAAGTATTGAGTGTAATTAGGCCATTTTGATCATTGTCACCCAGCCACACTACATTTAGTGATCAGAAGAGTGCTTGTTTTTGTTATCAGAATATTCTTGCACAAGTTAGGTTCTGTAATGTCAATTATCAAATTCCTTTTGAGATGACAAAACTGTTGTTTAACACACACCCATTCCCACTATAATTTCAATTGCAGGTTTTCAAGGAAATAAAGAAAATATCAATAGAATTAGTCCAAAGTGACTTTATTGCAAATAATAGTGAGGTTAGCCATTTCCTTACAAGGAAACATTCAGCATTTATTGAACAAAAAGTTAGTATTACTGTCAGCTGAAATTTAGAAAGTGTCTTCTCTTAAAACAGTTTTTCAGGAAAATAGATTTCTCAAGTCCAATTTAATGCTATTTCTTGTATCAATAGGAGTTTCCGTCCTAACCTTTTGTTTAAGATAAAGTAGAAAGTCAACATCTTGATTATATTATTATTTTCTGTTCTAGTTATCCATTTCAGTTGTTGCTTTTGAAAGTGTTCAAATGGTGCGGTTTCTGTTAGTTGGTAAAGTTCTTTGTGATTAAAAGGAGTTCTGATGAAGGGTAGTTTTAAGACCTGAAAGGTTCATTTGCTTGAAGGCATTTTTAATCATTGATCTGGGTAAATAGTTGTATATAGCTGATAGTTTAGACATTTCTAAGTGAGTTGGATGCCATGCATGACATCCATACAAGAGTCTAGAACTGACAAGGCTATTTAAAAATGTGATTATGGTTCTTAAGTTTAGGGTTTGTAGTAACTTGTAATATTAAACAAAACAGATTCATACACTGGGGTATTTAAAGGAGGGAAATCATTGAATTAGAATGTGACCTGTGCTGATACATTTTCAACCGGTAAATTGTTCAGGTCAGCGGTTGAGTTGAGCCAGGGTCTGTTATTTGGGATGCAAAGATTAAAATATAGTTAAATATTCTTGTCTTGCAGACAGATTTATTTTTATGCCATTGGCAGTGGAGACTGCTGTGGTCATCAGCCTGCAGTCAGTGGTGTTTGCTTGGAGGGTTGGCAGGATTGCATCTCGATTAAGGGACGAAACAGAGTGGCTCGTGGTGATTGTGCAAGGTAATGCTTTCTCCATCACTGCAGCAAGCAGAGGATAGCAAAAAAAAAAAACAATTTTTTTTTTTGAAATATACTTTGTTTAAAGTGTTTAATATTTATTAATAAAATAAGATTGTTTTTTTTATAAGGCTGTTGATTAGAAAGGAGGATGTATTTTTTTTTTTAATATCCACATGAGAACAATTATTTAGTCAATTTTTATCAGGCAGAAAACATTGCTCATCTAATAAAGTTTTTTATGAAAGTATGAGGAGGCACGGTGGAGTAATGGCTAGTGGCTCAGATTGAGAAATTGGAGAGCTGAGTTCAAATTCCATTTGAATCCATTACATTCACTTACATACTAATACCCTCGAGAAAGGTATGAATTCTCTTATTCTTCTCCCAGCTATGGGTAAATAGCAGAACAGACTGGGTTATATAACCTTGGATGGCAACTGGTCTACCGCAGATAGAAATGGCAACCTACTGTGGGAAAAAATCTGCCTTGTCAGTTATGTAATGGAAGATACACAATCACCTAAGCATGTATCACGCATGACACTTAAATTAATTAAAGAAAGAGTGATTGAGAAAAAGATGTTACCTCTTGTTTTTTCCTTTCACTGAGCGGCACATATGGCACATAATTTTCATCATCACTTTCACTCTCATCACCTTGAGTTCTTTTTCTCTGAAAGAAGAAAAAAAGTCATTAAATTTCCATTCCTACTGCAAGAAATCTTTGACTTGCAGTCCTGTTTTCAATTCTACACACTCCACTGCAGTCTACATTGAGTGGACATTATTTATTATTCAAAAATGAATTTGCAATATGTAGTGATACTAGCAAATTAGTATGCATAATTTGCATAAGCATAAGTGAACACTCATATAAGTGGTCACTGAGAATAACGAAGTAGACGTACGAGCTTAGCGACTTACTAGTGCTAACTTGGACTTCACAACAATGGCGTCGCCGATAGGATATCAATTGTCTCTGGAAGATCCAGATTTTGTGGATACATGGATTTGTTGTTTCTCTGCCACTGCGAGAACAAAAAAGTTGAAAGACAACAAGGAAAAGGGAGGCGAATATGAAATCACGGATTTATTTTTGGCTACAGCTGGATGCGAGGCGATAATGAAAGTCTCCACCATGGCATATCCCTCAAATTTGGAAGACCTGACTTTTGAAAAAATAAATCAGATTATAAGAAGAAATATGAGACCCAAGAAAAGGCTGGTAGTGGCAGAAAGAACAAAATTCATGTCGATGAAACAAGAAATTGACAAACCAATTATAAAATATCTACACCGTCTACGAAATGCGAGTAGATATTGTGAATTTAAGAAACTCAGACAAGACGAACAGACTATTGAAGAGGACTTGATTCAATTAAGACTAATTGAAGGTATGTCCAATGCGTCACACCGATATAAAATAATGGAACAATTACAAATAGGAAATAGGAAATAAGTAGACGTACGAGCTTAGCAACTTACTAGTGCTAACTTGGACTTCACAACACAATAAAAAGTGAAAAAAAAAATCAAAGCAAGCATTTTTCAAAGACAAAAAGAAAGAAAATAAAGACATCTGCACTCACCAAAAGTTAAAATATGTTTATTCAAGAAATATTGAATTTTATCACTTTACTTGCATTTTCATAACATGTACATAAATATAAAAGTGGACATTGAAGTCAACACCAAGAGGTGACAGTCTGTTGCCACTTGGTCTTGACATCAATGTCTACTTGCCTCTGGGTTTTGACAACAATGTCCACTTTTATATTTACATATGGCCTATCCTGGATATTAAGCACTTTAATCCATAGAGTATCTTAAAATTATATTTTATTATATATATATATATATATATATATAAATATTTTATTATATATAAATATATATGTTTATATATAAGTTTTTTTTATGTCACCATTTTAACACTAATTAAAATGTCAGCATAAAAACAAACTCAAATTTCCACAATATAGCTTTAACTCAATTAGCTACCATATTTCCATAATATTCACTCCCCTCTAATTCTTCAAATGTCGACAGTATAACCAATTCTAATTTCTATATTTAATTTACCCCTCTATAACCTCTTTACATTATATTATAATTTATAAACTTTACCTTACTCTAAGATCTCCCCAACTCTCTTTCCATTAATCCCTTACATCCTTTTATCTATATATTTTAAATTTATTTTTTAAACACGTTTTTCCTCCTATTATATATAAGGTTTAAGCTTTTTAAAGTTGGGCATGACTGATGTAACTCACAGCCTTATATCATTCTGTGTATTGAACCTATTTTTCTATATTTAGTTTTAGGCATGCAGATACATCATATTGAAAGACCAGTTCCCATACAATCACCAAAGTTAGGTAACATTGAACCTGGTCAGTACCTAAATGGGTCACTGTTTGGAAGTAACAGGTGCTGTAAGCTCAGATGTGTGGATGATGTAATGGATAATGGTTCGGAATTGCTAATCAGAGAGGTGGGTTCAAATTACCATTGGGTTCATTATATTAACTTACGTACAAGTACCTTTAGGAAATAAATAAATCCATCTCTTCTGCCCCCCAGCTATGGGTTAATTAGTAAGACTTGTATCACTAAACTATTATCTCAAAAAAAAAAAAAAATAAAATAAAATTCTTACACTCAAAAAATATTTCCTGACTTTAAATAACCTGCAAATAGTGATTAGCTACACATGTACGCCTTTTAGATTTATTTACATTTTCTAGAACAGGGTTTTTCAAACTGTGAGTCCTGATCATTCAATGAGTTGCGAGATAAATAAAATGGGTTGCAACAAAAAAGAAAGAAAAAAAACGCAAGTGAGAGCAAAATGCAGAATATAAATAACTCAAAATGTTGCACAGCACTCATAAATCATTGCTAGTTTTTCCATCAAGGTAAGCTTATATTTTATTTTTTTAATATATATATATATATATATAAATATATATATGTTAGCATTGAGTTTATGTATCTTGTTCGTCAAAGTTATTACAGATTGAGTGAGGTCAATTCTCTCTGACAAAGAGAACTTGTGCCAAAACTTAGCTACAAAGGTATGCAGTGTGTTCGTCTTCATGGTCAGTGAAAGCCGTTAAAATTGTTGAATAATTCTGTTGCATCTGAAGTCAGGGCTAAAAGTGAATTTCCTGATTCCTGAAGTCAAGTACAAGTACATTCTTTCTGTGGTAGTAAAATGTGTTGTGTTCATTTGAAGTCTTGGAATTTTTGATGAGTTGGCTGCTGTTTTGGCAAAATTTAAAAACGGGTTATTTTTTTTAAACTTGTACCTGTAATACTCGTAACTTGTAGTATTTGAAGATTTCAGAAACAACCCTAAGATGGATCATTATACAAGTTGAAAACAGAAGAACTACGATGGAACAAGAGAACTACCAACATTATCAGATATATATGAAAATGCAACTTCAATGAAGATGATAAGCTAAGCAGGCAAATGTTGACTTCTTTTGAGACAACTAATAAGAAGATGAAATTTCCTTTAAATTTATTTTTCTAAAAGTAAAAATTTCATATTCATACAACTAGATAATACAAATAGATACATGCAATTCCAATATGTGCAGATCATAAGAAATATGCATATAAATTGCCGATGCTAAATAAGTGAACCTACTGAACAGAGTTTGGCTTTGATTTATTACACGTAGGCATAATGGGTTGCAATGCAAAATGTGGGTCTTGCTGTAGGTCGCAGTAAAGAAAAAAAGTTTGAAAAACGCTGTTCTAGAATATATATATATATATATATATATATATATATATATATATATATATATATACACATGTATAAAAACTACCATGGCCACAGAGTGAGGGATCAGTTTATATATTGATTCTAATATAGAATTGATTCCCAACTTTATATCCACATTATAATTTCTTGTTTATTAAATTCTGATTAGGTATGAATCCACCTCTTCTCCTTCCAGCTATGGGTTAATTAGTAAAACTTGTATCACTAAACCATTATTATCTGGAAAAAAAAAAAATTTTAAATCTAAAAATATTTCCTGGCTCCAAATAACCAGCAAAGGGTTGATAAACTGTAAAATTAATGAATGAATCAATATATTTATTTTTAGTAGATGAATAGAATGATAATGTCTTTTCAAGTTGTTAGAAATCTCAAATATTTCAAAGCTTGAGCAGCAATTTGTGGGTATTCTTCATGTAGGTTAATCACAAACTTTGAAAAACCACTTCTTTGGCACATGATTGAAAATTTTTACTTTTTGTTTAAAAAGTGTTCTTTTCTGGGTATGATCCTCAGTATGGCATGAAACAAATAAAAGGAAGTCTTGCTGGGACCCTGAACTTCATTCACAAAGCCCTATGGTTACATGGAGCCCACTTTGGGAAACCCTGGTTTAACGGATATATATATATATATATATATATATATATATATATATATATATATATATTTCACTTTCTATAAATAGTATAGTCTTCTTAATATAGTGAAGTTTCTTAATATTTCCCTGTTTATTCATTTTCTTTCAGAATGTAACTTGAAATGGTGCCTCAGTATAAGAAGGTAAAAAAAAAAAAGGTTTTAAGCTAATGAACAAAAACTAACATACAAAAACATAATCTATAATAATAAAGTGCAGTGTACGTGTCCCTTCATTTTTTGATCTCGGGATTTATGCATGGGTATTAAATAAACACAGCAGTGCATGCATAATATGCACTTTCACTCACTAGCTGGTTGACATTCATTCAAACACTAATCACAAGAAGAATAGAAATATTAATATTCATCAGTTATTTACAGCATTATTATTTTTTACTAGTCTAAAGACTTTTTCTTCAAATTAATCTTTCTTCTATATCTTCTATCTATATATAATCTTCCATAATAATAAAGTGCAGTGTACCTGTGTCCGTCCATTTTTCGATCTTGGTGAATCATAAACAACCTGAAGTAACAGGTAGTAACTACTGTAGTTACACACGATTAAAAATTAAATAACTCATTTAAAGCTAAATTTAAATATCAAACAATTTTTTCTTTTCCTAGCAGGCCTAGTGTGACATATTACATAGTTTAGGATCCCTAATGTCTTTTAAGAATGACTTTATGTGGAGGGATCATAAAGAATGGTGATTTTAAAAGAAAATAAAAATTGTGCACAAAATACATGTAAACAAACTACGGAGATTGGTTGTGTATACAAAGAAAGATTATGACAAATTAAGGTGTTGAATAAAGATAAAATAATTTTATTATTTCTAAATTCTTATAACTTTTACATATATAGGATGCTGAAGGAAAAAGGCCAAACACCCAAAAGCCCTCCACAGGAGCTAGCCTAAAGTCCACCTGAAGGGCAGCTTCTAGGCTGGTGAAGAATAATATTAGAAGTAATAAAATTAAAAAATGATTGGTAACTTTACTATGAATTAGGAAATGAAAGTTGTACACTGTAGCTCATTGAATCAGTGTGTCATGTCTAATAGATGTCAGTTATCAGTTATCTCCTGTTAATTCCCCTCTCCAAGTTCTCCACCGCCTTAACCAGGTATTGAACTCACATTATTTGGGTCCTGTCACTGGATCTAACTAATGCATTTATCCACTGTGCCATGTGTCAGAGGGGAATTAACAGGAGATAACTGACA